AGGTTGTTTAGCAAAATTTTGTTGACTAGGAAGATGCCAGATGTGTGGAGGAAGCGTATTTTAGTACCAATATATAAGAATGAATAAGATGTCCAGGACTGTAACAATTATAGAGGAATCAAGCTAATGTGTCATATAATGAAAGTGTGGAAGAGGGTGATGGATCGCCAATTGCGAGATATAACAAAGGTGTCAGAGAATCAATTTGGGTTTATGCCTAGCAGGTCAACAATGGAAGCGATTTATCTTTTGAGGACAGTAATAGAAAAGTACAGAGAAAAGACAAAAGACATTCATATAGTGTTTATCGACCTTGAGAAAGCATATGATAGAGTGCCCCGAGATATAATATGGTGGGTGTCAGAGAAGAAAGGGGTGACAAAAGATTACATTGATGTGATTACGGATATGTATGAAGGGGTGGTGACAACTATTAGATCCCCTTATCTTTTTGCTTTAGTTATGGATGAGTTGACGAGAAATATTCAGGATGACGTGCCATGGTGTATGCTTTTTGCAGACGATATCGTACTAGTAGATGAGACTAGAGAAGGAGTTAATACAAAGTTGGAGATTTGGAGAAAAGCTATTGAGTCTAAAGGTTTCCGGATAAGCAGAAATAAGACAGAGTACATGGAGTGTAAATTTAGTAACAGTAACAATGAAAGCAGAGGAGAAGTGATGATTGAGAACCAAGAATTGCCTAAGAGTGAACATTTTCGTTATTTAGGGTCGATTATCACAACAGCGGGAGAGATTGATGCGGATGTGGCCCATAGGATTAAGACGGGATGATGTAAGTGGAGAAGTGCGTTTGGAGTACTGTGCAATAAACGAATACCCACTAGACTAAAAGGTAAGTTCTATAGAATGGCTATTAGACCAGTGATGTTGTATGGAACGGAGTGTTGGGCAACTAAGAAACATGTAGATAAGATGAGTGTGGCTGAGATGAGTATGCTAAGGTGGATGTGTGGCAAGATTAGACAAGACAGAATTAGAAACGAGTGTATTCGGGAATGGGTAGGAGTAGCACCGATAGAAGATAAGTTGAGAGAGAATCGATTGAGATGGTTTGGTCACATTCAACGAAGACCAACAGAGACAGTAGTGAAGAGATGCGATACTATAACCGTATAGGGGAGTGTTAGGGGACAAGGTAGGCCTAGATTAACGTTGGCTAATGTTGTAAATAGAGATATGGATCTACTTAATTTGACTAACGAAATGGCCTTTGATAGGGCCGCGTGGAGAAGAAGGATTCATGTAACCGACCCCATTTGATGGGACTTAAGGTTTGGTTTGGTTTGGTTTGGTTTATCAAGGCTTTGGAACCAGTAAACAATTGAAAATGTTTTTGCATGAAGCTTCATCCAAATAACATCACCCTAATACATGAACACAATAATTATAATTTGAAATGAATTCTTGCACTGCCACCCTTATTATTCATATCTCTTCAAATATATTACAAAAAGTATTATTATCTCCGTTGCCCCTTTGAAACTTTTGAACATCTTGTGCTAGTGAATGATCAGAATGATTTTGATGAGTTAGGGCAAGTGATTAACCATCATTAATTTTATACCGGCCTGCAATACAATCACCATCACAGTTACCTCAAACCACATGACTGCATTAGCTTCACTCTATAAGTCACCAATTCATAAACGGTAGTGGGATTGGGAGCTGGAGCGAGAGCACCGATTTTTAGATTTCTTAGAATCGAGAGCCTTCTTGAGATTCCGATTCTCTCTGCTTCGTCGAGGACCAAGGTCGATGAGTCGTAGAAGAAATCGTAGAGTCTCTGGTACTCCTTTTTTTTTTGTTTTTTTTTTTTTTTAAACGAGAGCTGGAGGGAGACGGAAGGTGTGTAGAAAATTCCAACGGGCAGCAAAGGCAAAGTTGCCGGCCGGCTGCCCGCCGGTGAGAAAGAAATACAGGCCTAAATCTTATGCTCTGATACCATGTAAGAATTGATGTATTATTGATTGATATTTTGTTATGTTTACATTGATTCATATATATAGAAGAGAAGAAGGTAGTAGGTGAAGGGGAGTAGGTGAAGTGTAGTAGGTGAGGAGTAGGTGGTGATAGGTGATGGTAAATTGGTGGTAGGTGATGGTAACTTGGTGGTAGGTGATGGTAAATTTTAACAGATTAAGTATTTTATATTTATATCTTCACTTATTAAGTATTTTAAAAATATTTATGCCTAATTAATAAGAAAAACTACTTCTATATATCTTCTTCTAATTAGTTACGTTAAAAGTAATAAAATAAATGAATCCAAGATGCCATAGCTTTTTTTTTTGTTATTATTTATTTTTACAAAGGGTGTAAAATTTCAAAAACACGCTGGAATTAATATTTTGTATGATAAAATGGGATGTATTTGATATTTTATACAATAATTTGTATCTGGAGAGACTTGTATTGGTAAGTGTGTATTGTTTTATACTAATTTGAATTGGAATGTGTGTACCTCTACTGAGTACTGACATGAATGGAGAACAGCTGAGTTGGGATGATTACATGCGTGTAGCTTCTCAAATGTCATTATGTCATTGGTTATATTAGAAATTATTTCGAAACACCCGAACTTGTTAAGTATAATTTACGAATTTTGATTTATAAATCCACAAATTCATCACGATTTTTTTTCAAATTCGCTGATCCGCAGACTGGAGCGTGGTCTCCCACCTTAGGGTGGCAAATTAGGTGACTTAGGCTCCACCTCATTCTTTTTTTAATTTAAAAAAATGGTTTTTTTAAGTTGCATTTGAATATTGGACTCATTTGATGTTTCTAGTAATAATTTGTTCTGGGTAGAGAGAGGGAAAAGCCAATCTGTTCAATTGAGCCAAGTCATATGTTCCTTAAGTTGGGGTCTTTTTATCTTTCTTGAAGATTTTTGTTTAGGTTTTTCCAAATTATTGCTTTTCTTGTGTAGCATATGCATTCCTAGCCTTCATCTTTTGCTTGACAATATTTTTGATTTTCAAAACAATAACCTTAATAGTAACTATCATTTTCGGTCCTTATCAGGCTTTTGAAACCTGTAAACAATTGAAAACATTTTTGCAATGAAGCTTCATCCAAATAACACAACCCTAATACATGAACACGATCATTATACTTTGAGATGAATTCTTGCACTGGCACCCTTATTTTCATATCTTTTCAAATATATTACGGAAAAGCATTATCATCTCCATTGTCCCTTTGTAACTTTCAAACATCTTCTGGTGCTTGTGAATGATTGGAATGACTTTTATGAGTTAGGGCAAGTGATTACCCACTATCAATTTCATACTTGCCTATAATCACCGTCAGTCTCCCCAGACCACATGACTGCATTATCTCCACCTCATTCTCTTTGGTAAATGAAAAATGGTTTTCTTGAGTTGTATTTGAATATTGAATTCAATTGCTGTTTCTGTTAATAATTTGTGCTGAGTAGAGAGGGGAGAAACAACTTAAACTACCAAGAACTGTGGTGATAATAAACTAAGGGTTTTGGCTTTATCACTGCCACAACGACTAACAATCCAGGCCTTGTCATGGCACACAAGCAGCAAACATTCTAGCATCATATTCATCAATTTTGTTGTACCAAACTTGTCTTTTTATGTATATGCTCATATCATGCACTAGAAGGGTGATTCAGGCTACATCCTAACAATTGTATGTTATTTATCTTCTTTTTTTTCTTTTTTCTTTTCCTTTAATATTCACTCCTTTGTTAATTTTCCCTAATTTTTCTTCTTCTAAGTTCTAACCAACTTCCTCCTTTATCAGCTATCTACTTATTGTCAAATCCCATAACAAGTAGCATGTTAAAATGTAAATCCTTTGAAGTTGAAATTCCCTTGGTCTCTCTAAAATCTTATTAATTTTATATCTATCATGGAATTTTCTGTTTGAGTGATTTAGTTCTCATATGGTTATGACTACGATGACATATTAATGTTGGATTGCTTGATTCATTCTTTGTTGAGGAAGTTTCATCTAGGTATGGCTACTATCTCTCTATTGGCAGTGATGGCTATTGTAGGTTTAATGCTAGTGGGTTTGTATGGTGGGATATGTGGGTTTAGAGAGGAACTAGAGAAAAGAAAATGAGAGTTTAGGAAGGAGACCGGTAGTGGTGAGCTAAATGGTGGTTACCAGAGTAATTGAGGAGGCGATGGCACGAAAAAAGAAAGAAAATTGCTAGAAGGTGGTGATGGATATTTAAGTGTTGTTCATTGATGTTAGGAAGTGGGAGGTCTTATTTATATGTATATCCATTTTTATAAGCTATTTAAATGTGTATATATTATGTGTTTATATGACTTTTTTACATTGAAATTATTTTTAAGATATAATGACGAACATGATGCTCGATGAAACATTAATGGCCAGATATTTACAACAGGAAGGTTTTTTTGGCATATTTTTCAAAGAAAGGGTGATTTATTATCATTTTGCAAAACCTTGAGGGTTGCCGGTCAAGTTTACCCAATTCTGTGCCTTAAAAATGAGTAGTATTTGAAAGGACTTCAGGAAGCTTGCTTTGCCATGGAAGTAGAGCATAAAGTTAAAAGGGTACTTTTTTTGGTTGTGGGCTATGAAAATTACCTGATCACACAAAATGCTTTTGATTTCCAAGTTGGGTTGTGTTTGTAAGATTCATTAGAATATAAGATTTTTGAACCAACATTTTTTGTATCTGAGTTGAATCTGATTATAAAGTTCAAATCGTAATTGAAGATCCACATGTTTGTAACATTGTGTCCTTGACTTGGTTTTGCTTCTAGTATTCCTTGTTAATGTTGTAAACCATTTGGCTACTAGATTCTTTGTTGGTGCTCTTTGCAACTCGATTGAACTGAAACAATATATTCTTTGGATTCATCATTATCAGTTCTTCAGCAAAATGGGCTGTGGTAGTAGAGAAAATTTCCATCTCCTGATTCTGCCTTGCGTTTTTGAGATTGCTGCTATATTTTGTTCAGGTGAATTTCGCAATTCATAAAGACTGTCTTCCCCTGCATGAGAGAGTTTTCAAATATGCTATAAAGGATAACTATCAGGGCTCCAAATTTAAATCAGAACTCAGTCACCGGCAAGTAAGTTTAGTTCAATTTTCTTTATCGGCTGGGTTGTCACGTTCCTTTTTTTTACTTTATTTTAATTATTGTTAATCAAATTTTCCATTAAAATGTAGGTAAAAGATCTATTATCATTGTTTCGTCCATGTGCTGCATTAACAGCAGCACCTGTGGCCCCAGTGCCAGAGGTGGCCCCACCACAGCCAATACGGTCTTCAGCATTGGAGAATCAATTCCAGAACTCAGTGAGGCTGCCTCCACAGGATCCGTATCTAGCCGGTATGCAACATGGTTATGCAGACAATCAATTCCGGCCCTCTGCAAGGCTGCCTCCACCGGATCCACATCTAGCTGGAACGCAAAATGTTCACACAGCACTGATGATTGAGCCTCATCGTGCTCAACAAAGGCTGCTAAGCTCACAACATGATTTGTATGGAACTGTGAGAACCATGGACCATGCGTATCCTTCTTTGGAGCATCAAAGCCTGCCTGCTTCAAATGATTCATATTACTTCGCGGAAAATCGACAGCCATACTTAGGTGAAGATACTGCCCTGATTACACAGGACCAATATCCCAGGTAATTTGTTTATGAATTTTGGTAGCAGAAGCCAATTTGGTATCCTAAAAGTGAAACTGCTTATTGGCCAATGATTTATGTATAGTTGTGAAGACACCATCTAACCCATCTGTGCTGATCTATATATTAGAATTGTCTGTCAGCACACTTTAGTCCATGTTTGATGAAGTGATGTGCAAAAAAATAACAAAAATAATATATATATATATATATATTTATTAGTATGCCAGAAAATTTGCTTTTTTGAAGATTTTGAGATGTCATCACCTCCATGAAATGCATATTTTTCCTTTGCCATCAACTTCTTCCCAGAGTGAAACTGAAACTAATCAAGATTCCCATTGTATTACTGGTTTCACATGTATAGGGCCGTGCAGGAGATGGTCCCCAGTGACCAACTCGTTGGCTTGGAGAGAGAATATTATCGATTGCCCTTGCCGAGGGAGAGAGAATTTGATCTGCAGCGGGACAATGTTGCTGGATACTACAACACCTATCCGATGCCTGCAGCCCCCCATGGCCCACCTGCCACCAGATACTACAACACCTACCCAATGCCTGCAACCTCTCACGGTCCACCTGTTGCTGGATACTACAACACCCACCCGATGCCTGCAACCTCTCACGGTCCACCACCTATGCACCCATACGACGGTCAAGTGTCAACAAGGCCTGAGCTGCCTGTGAGGAATGATCTTGTCTCCTACTATTCCTTTGCAGGAGTGAAGCAGGTATTCCATTGATCCCTAGCAGATAAAGAATCTCAAATTTGATCGAAAGGTTAGCATTGCTTTGTTTGGTGGATGTGCCTGGTAAACATCTTTGATGTCAATTTGAACTATGAAGTTTAACGCGACAATCTTTGACAACTTTCCGGGTTTTTTTAGGAATTTTCCATACTTACAAATTTAGAGACTTTTCGAAGTTCAATCTGGTAGATCATTTTGAAATTGCAAGGGTTCTATTTGGTTGTAAAGTTTTCAGGGAAATGTAGTATTACCAACATAAAGTTGCTGCATAGCGATGAAAAGTAAGAGCTCATGGTCTACCGAACTATGAGGGTGAGCTTTCCATACCTGAGTAGATTGGTGGTGGAATGGTGGTTATGTTTTGTTTTATTTTTATATTCTCTTCTTTTCTTTTATTTTTTTTGTCCTTTCGGTTTTTTGTTTGGGGAATCCGGGTTGGTACGATAAACCTCCTCTCTCCAATGAGGGTGGACTTGATCCTTGTTGGTATGATCACACAAATTTTTTTTGCATTTTCTGCGATTTTTTTCTTTTGTTTTTGTTTTTTTGTTTTTTTTTTTTTTTTGGGGGGGGGGGGGGGTTGGCTTGGGGCTATTTTTGTTGCAATTAAAAGTAGGGTTGAATTTCTCTCAAATTTAAATCTGAATTTGAGAGAGCTTGAGGCCCAATGCAGGTCTGTTTTGATGTTCTGAACTGTTGTATTGTGTGTTTTTTTGGTAGGGTTTTTTTGTGTATTATTCATTGAAAAAAAATTAGATCAATCTAATAATCATAATATTTTTGTTTTACCATGTTTGTCTTCAAAAAGATGGACGACAAATATGTTTTTAAAAATAGACATTATTTTTTTTGGATTCAATAAATTCAAAAGACTAATTGTCACATTAATTTAATTTTTTTTTTATAAATAATATGCATGGAGAATTTTATGAATAAAAAAAAACAGTTTGCTTTATCAAAATAGGATCGTGATGAACTCCACGGACCCTTTCAAACTCTCTCAAACAAGCAAGTATTGCATTATAATTGGAAAGGACTGGGATGATTATTACAAGCATAAAAACAAGTGCTGGGTTTGATTTCGTAATTCCATTTTATTACCTCCCCTTCCCATTACAACTAGTTAAAAAGGAAAAAATATCAGTAAAAATCTGTTTCTACCACTATGAAAAAATAATAAAACTGTTGCCGATTATGCTCCACTAACTTGGCAATTTTTTCTGGAGTTGGTTTGCTTGCACAAAATTAATTAAACTTAAGAAAACTACAAAGACTGTACACATCACCATATGGTTGAGGAAAAAAATGAAAATACCCATAAATCGGTTCAATTCAGATCAATCGTATGGCTTAATTTAGTTTTCTAAATAAATTATAATGAAGTGATGGTGTGAGTTTCACACCCAAAACGAGAGATTAATTTAGGGTGTTGAATTTTTCGAACCTAGCATTTTTCAGAAATAAATAAAAATAATAAAATAAAATGAAAATGTTATAAGGTGGATATGTAAACTATATGGTATTAGGTAGTGTATGAAGTAAATCCAAAGAAGTAGTGTCATATAGAAAGAGCCCTTCATGCACGTCTATTTTGGGCCACCATACCGAACTAGTGGTTGACCACTTGACTTGGGTGCTCGTTGACACCGTGGCGTGTCGATGAGGACATTCACATACTCTCACATTTTAAAATCAACTTTCTTTGCGTGTGTGAGTGAGTGAGAGAGAGAGAGAGAGAGCTTCAATAGATAAAAGGAAGCCTAAAAACATCACAATCTGATTCCACTCAATATTGTTGATTTGTTTCCAGAATGTCTATGCAATTGTTTTACCTTTTTGAACTTCTTTTTTTTGTTTGCTTTTTTTTTGGTTAAATTACACCCACTATCTTGACATTTGAAAAAAATTATAATAATCTTACACTTTTAATATAATTATACTAAATTCTTCTGAAATTTTAATTTACGTAACATTCGGAGGGTGATATTCAATACTCCCGGAGTATGGACACATAGTACTTCATAAAGTTTTGATTGGTGAAGAGGCATAATGGCCCGACTAAGCAATTGGTAATTGGTTAGGAGTATGGTCACGTGATAGTATTAAATAATTTCCCACATCGGGATGATTTTTCATCAGTAATTTATCATCTCTTTTATATTAAAATGTATATTTATATTTGTTTATTTTAGTGTATAGCCTTTAGGTACTATCTGTATTAGTTTTGATCGTTTTAATTTTACTAAAAGAGAGGTCATCGTAATTATATTAAACTTTTAAAATTAATTATATATATATTTTAAATCTTAGGGAGGTGAGTGTAATTTTTTTATCTGAATCATGAAAAAAAGAGATAGTTTGCATAAAAATGGGTATTTGATTGATCAACAATTGGAGTTGGAAAATCATTTGAATCTAAAAAGGCAACAGTGGGGTGCAACAAACATCCTTGCTTTTTTATGCCATACACATTACACTTTGCTTTTTCCCATTGATAAATATATTATTATGTCCACCAAAAAAAAGCATAAGATAAGAGTTGTTATTGTGTGCATGTTTGGAGTTACATGGGAATGGGGTCTACTTATTTTATTTTAAATTTTTTAAAAAGTAGTAAGCACGTCGTCCATAGAGAAGCATCTCTAAATGAGTATATGATAAAAAAAGTGATAAAAATAAAGTTTAATTTTATTTGTTAAATATAAGTCCGTGAAGAGTTGTTTGAGATGATTTAAATAAGTGTACTTTTAATGTTTTATAAAAAAATATGCAGAAAAGTAAAAAAATAATGTGATTCAAAAGAGATAAAAATATAAAAAATGTGCTTATATAGTACACCCCAAACAAGCATAGATAAAATTTATTAAAGAACTACAAAGAAAAAAAAATTATGGGGCTAGCCGCCCATCTGTATCTCTGCTGCCAACTGTGTGGCCACAATTAACAACAATTCTAATAACTGAGCAAGTGAACAACAAGATTAACACAAGCATTGGAGATTAAAAAAATGATTAGTTAAATCAACTAACAACAAGATTAACACAAGCATTGGAGATTAAAAAAATGATTAGTTAAATCACTTAATATCTGACTCTAATGAGCTTTTGGAGAGCTCACTAGAGATTCTGTGAGTCTGTTTTCAGTAATTCCAAACTATAACGTCAATTTAAGTTTCCAAAATTATTTTCAGTCATGTAAATCTTTTATTTTTACTTCTTTTAGACTCACTTCTTCAAAAATGTGAAAATTTATTATCTGAAATATTTTTTATTTTCTTGGCCATTCATATTTGGTCAAGTTCAAATAGGAACAGACATATTTGATTTTTTGCTTTTACTTTGCCATGTCTGTGGCTGTCTCCTTTATGGCTGTTTTGATTGGAGAGAGGGGGAGGGGGGGTCCTTCAAGCTGGATGGGGTGGAAAATCATAAAAAGGAATTCAGTAATGATAGAGACCTCACAAAACATGATTCTTACAACTTCTAAAATGATCTGAACCATTTATGTCACTGTTAAAGATTAAAAAAAAAAAAAAAATTTTCAAACACATTAATGGGTCTCAAGCATTTTCAAAGGAATCAAAGCCATTTGAGATTGAAGAGCATGTGCACATTCTAACACACATGAAAAATTTCAAACTGGGACATGTTCAGTTTCTAATGACTTTTTCTACATTTTAGGGATGAGATAGGAACATGTCATATGGTGGAATTTGAGTGGGTCAGCTCCAAATAATTTGAATTTAACTTGTAAAATTATAAGATTGAATAATATAATTTTATGTTTTAGTCAAAATTTGAGTTTAATTTTTTTTTTCAACTTGAATTAAATTCAGTTTTGAGTTGGAGGAAGACCCTCTCAATCTCAACAATTCAAATTCAACTAGTAAAATTTTAAAATTTGAAAAGTATAATTTTTGTATTTGATTAGGGCTTGAATTAAAAATGATTAATTTGAATAGACAAAGACTCGCATAATTAGAGCGATTCTATTTTTTAGGCCAAGTTTGGCATAACCTAAATAATACAAAAAGTCAAAAAGTCACTATCCTATTTAAGTCACATCATCTTATTTAAATCACATCACCTCTCTAACACATCACATCAAACCTAACCTATATAAAGCAATAAATCAAAAAGTGCACTTTTTTAGAACATCTCAAACCAACCCTTAATGAGTTTCGTGTCTCAAATCGAATTATAAATAGAAGTCCACTTGTAATATAATTACTGACAATTTATTATGTGGACCCCTGATAACACATTGTGTAGTTATGTCACATTTGTCAATTTTGACGTTTAAGTGGTTTCATTAATAAACATGAAAAATAAACTATTTGGTTTAAATCATATTTCCGTATAATCAATTCTATTGCTTATCATTTTTTAGAATTTTGTGCTCTTATTTTTAATATATGCATTACAATGGTTTAGTATAGTTCAATGCGCTACCTAAAATTTGTTCTATTTTATTATTATTTTTGGTGTTGAATTTGTGTAGCTCGATAGAAAAATATTTTGTGGTCCGAATTTGTGTGACTCGAATGTGTCAAAACGACGTCATTTTACATTTAAAATAACGCCATTTTGAGTGTTTCGAGCCATTTGAATAATGAATTTTCGGGCCATCTATCATTGTTGAACTCGATATTATTCAAGTCAAAGACATAAAAACAAGCTCGAGCATGAGTTGGGCTCGAACAAATCCCTCTGCACTATAGGTTGAGTTTAGATAGTCTTTCAACTCGACCAACACCAAACTTACAGCCCTAGCGTCTCATTTTATCCGTAATCCCAACATATTATTTGTAAGAAAGCATTGACTAGCATATATTGTTTAACAAAACAATAATTCTATGTTAATCAAGGGGGATTCTATTTACGCTAAAAAAATATTTAAGTGAGCTCAATTTTTTAGTACACCTTATTAAATTATTTAGGGTTACAATTTACTCTCAGTACACTTTATTTTTTTCTCAAATTACCCGTTTGAGGTACACCCAAATAAAACAAATTCAAAAATTCAAATTACTTTTGAAAAACTTTTTTTTTTGTTTATGTACATAAATAGAACACGATTAGGGAATCAAGCACTAGCAAAGGAGGACGACGAAGGAGAAGGAGAATAGTGAAGGAGGATGGCGAATATTCAGCCTGTTTTTCGTCATTATTGTTCGGATTTTCAAAATTGAACAAAGTGAATTTTTTTGGACTTCCAAAACCGAATGCCGAACAAAGTGAATTTGTTCGGTTATGAAAGTCCGAACAATAATAACGAAAAACAAACTGAATATTCACTTTCATGTAAAAAAAAACACAAAAATCAATAATTGTATTTAATATTTATGTGAATACTTATCTCCTCTTTAA